TAAATGTCGCGCCTCACTTCATAGGTACTATTTTTAGCTTTCATTTCTTCATAGATGAAGACACTAAAGGACAGAGGAGTTCAATGACTTGCCCAGGATCCCACAGCAAGCAAATGGCAGAGCTCCGCTTAGCAGGCTTTGTTAGTAAAGAAACTTGCTTCATTTTCCATAAATTATTCTCCAATCTACAAAAATATGATAACTCAAAAAAACTGCTGAACTTAAATAACATTTAAATTTGACTTAATTTGAGACAATGCATAAAATTAGCAGCACTAAGAGAAATAAGCATCTAGAAACAATTGGTAATCTTTCTAGCTGATCCTTTGCTGTTATACATCACAGCTTAGTGTAATCTTGACTTTTTAAAAGAATTTTATTTATTTATTCATGAGACACACACAGAGAGAAAGAGAGGCAGAAACATAGGCAGAGGGAGAAGCAGGCTCCCCGCAGGAAGCCTGATGAGGTACTCGAACCCATGACCCCAGGATCATGACCTGAGCCAAAGGCAGACACTCAACCACTGACCTACCCGTGCATCCCTGTAATCTTGAATTTATCTAGATTTGATTAAAATACTTCTACTAATGTGTTCTAATCTTTTATTAACTTGGCATCAGATACTGGGCTTGACAGCTTAGAGCAGCTAGCAGGGATGCCCTCATGCAAGAGCCTTCTGGCTTTCAGAAACTACCTTCCTCCTCCAGGTCAGAACACCCAGCTACTTAGCCTTGGTTTTCTCATCTGTAAAATGGGAAGTTGGGAGTTGGAACTATCTTCCTGAATCCCCTTCCAACTCTATCAAAATATGTATCCAAGGAGACAACTTCCTACTCTTTCCAACAGGGATTTCCACGAGATAGTATCTTGATAGACATTTCTTGAAATATTCATTAGTCCACTCAACAAACACCTATTCCCACTACTGTGAAGTTCTTTGAAGATAGTGACTATATCTTATTGACTACTGGGGCTCCAGCACCTAAGGCAGTGTCTGCCATGGAGTGGATGCTCAGTTACAAGGTAAAGACTCTAGGGGCGGGGCCATACAACAGTAGCTAGAAAGTTGTCCAGATGATCCCAATGCACAACCAAGGATGGGAACAGGTAAGCAATCATCATCAGATGATGGGCCTGGTGCGTAGGCAGATGAGGACTGCCAGGGAACTGGATGCAGAGAGGATCCAGGAGCCAAAGCGGTGCAGTGAGGGGACTGGGGAGGCTTTGCAGAAGAGGAATTGCCAGAATTGAGTCCCATGATTTTACAGGGCAGATGAGTAGAAGACACTCATTCCAGAGAGAAGGAAGAGCACAAGCTAAGACTGGGGTATGAAAGTGCAGAACTGTTTGGGAGGTCGGCGGAATCTAACGGGTAGAGGGTTGGACAGGTACGTCGAGGGAGGAACCTGTCCATGGGCAGGAGATGTGGGTAGAAATTCACACATCCAGAACAGGGGAATGGTAAACAGATTGTGACACATCATCATCAAGGAACAGTGCTACTCGGCAATAAAAAAGAACAAATGGCTGATACGCCTAACAATTCATAGGAATGTCAAAAACGTTATGCTGAGTGAAAGAAGTCAGACAAAAAGAACATACTGTTTGATGCCATTTATATGAAGTCTAAAACATGCAAAACTAATGTATAGAGATCAGATCAGCAGTTGTTTGGGGCCAGATGAACTGGAAAGGGGCAGGAGGGAACCAGCTGAGGTGATGGAAATGTTCTGTGTCTTGACTGTGGGGGTGGTTGCACATTTGTCAAAACTCATCCAACTGTGCACTTCAAATGGGCAAATTTTATTGTGTTCAAATTATACTTCTACAAAGTTGTTTTTGAAGGTTTTTTTTTTCTTTTTAAGTGGGCTGAGGTCAAATTGTGAAGGACCTCAAATATCATGCTAAGAAACTTGGACTTAATCCAAGAAGTAATAGAAGGCTTGTTAGTCAAAGGTTTTTCAGTTTGCTTTGGTTTGGTTTGGCTTGGTAGCAAGCAAAAATCCAATTTAAATCAGATTAAGTAAAAGAGAGAATTTTCCCTGAAGAGTCACTGGAGCAAATCACAAAATTCAAGGAAGACCTGGGGCCAGAAGCATGAATATCCTTCTCTCAGCCTTGTCTCTTGATAGCTCCATGACCTAGCTCTAGTGTTTCCCCCCACGACTGAGGACACAATGCTCAGAGAAGCAAAGCAACTTGTCCAGGACACACGGCAACAAGCAACTATGTCAAGCTTGGAACCCGGGTCAGTCTGATGCCAATGTCTATTTTTTGACCATCAGGCCTGGAGAAACAAAGATGAGTTTTCTCAAAAAGGCCCCCCGAGAGAAACAGAGCTGAGCAGATGGAGAGAGATTGGGACACAGAGCATGGCAAAGAACCCCACTTGAATCAGAAGTAGCTGAGAGGCCAAGGGATGGGGATGTGATTGAGGGGGACTCTGGATTGCAGATCGCCTGAATCCCAATGGATAGAGAGGTATGAAATTCACTGGGGGTAGCTTTCCAAGAAGATGGAAAGATCTGAGCAGTCCTGAGCTTGAATCTCAGCCACACTGGCCTTGGATAATCTCCTAACTTCTCTGAGCCTGTTTCCTCAAATGCAAAAGGAGTTAATGCCTACAAGTGTCATTAAAATTAGAGACACTGCAACAGAGTGCTTCTCCCAGTACTTGGCACCAAGCAAAGGCAGTGATTATCAGTTATTAGTATATACTTATATACTCCACAGGGCTATTATGACTGTGATAATACTTTGTGACTGTGATTACCATTATGATAATAATATTGAGTGCTTTGTGCCTCCTTTCCCAACCTGCTCACCCCATCAAGCATTTTCTCTTTTTCTGGGCAGGAAGGCGGGCAGATGTACACCCCCCCTCAGAACTTGACAGTTCCTGGAGTAAGTGAGTCCAAAAGAATGAGGGACTGAAAGCCCTCAGTGCTCTGGGTTTGTAAGGGCAGCTTGTATCCTCATAGCCAAGGCTGCAAGAAGACACATCATTGGAGCTCTTTCAGGAATGGGGTCATCAACCCTGGGCTTGGGCCTAAGAGAAATAAAAGACAGCCTGTTTGTTGGGACTTGGGGCACACTGACACCGAGATCTCTCCTCTCAACTTGTACTATGGAATTTTATCACGGGAATCTCATTTATTTTTCTTAGTGTCTTGGCTCTGTGGACATGAAGTTCTTTCTCACTTGGCTGCTGAGCCATCCCATAAACTTCGATGACATTGACATTGAATTTCTCACCCTTCCCCTAAGGGAGAAGTGAGGATGGGGGGAAGGGGTACATCCCTGAGTGGAGGAGCCCATATATGTTAATCGCTGTGTGCCAGCAGCTGTCCAAGGGCTTCAGCTACATCCTCCCACTCGATCCTTACGACAGCCCTAAGGCTATAGATGTGATCAGCTCCATTTCACAGTGAGGATGCGGAGGTCCAGGGAAGACAATGTCCCTTAATCAATGTCACACAGCCAGGAAGTGGTAAAGTCAGGATTCCTACCTAGAAGCCCCTGTTCTTCCTACTGTGTCCCTTTTGGCAGGGGGGCAGGGGGAGTGAGGATTGGCATGAAAAAGCTTCAGTTCAGATCCTACAAACTTGCCACAGAAAAGCAGCAATGTTGGGCAAGTAGAGGGGCCCTAATGACCACACAGCCAAAGCTCTGTGACCTGAAGCAGTCCAAGCCCTGAGTCCATCATTCAGGGAGCTGAGACCCACCACACTTCAGAAAGCTCTGCAGGTCTCCCATCAGGGTCTCCAAAGTAGCTAGGCAAGCTGCAAAAATCTCCAGAATGAGCAATAGGGCCTGCAATCCTAAGGCAGAAACCTTAACCTCACCCATGCCCCTGCCAGCAGGCCTGGAAACCAGAAGTAGGGGTGTTGAGCCCCCAGCTGGGTGGGAAGGGGCACCTGGTCTCTCAGCATAGCCCTCCCAACCCTAAGAATAGTCCTTGGGCAAGCCCAGCCCCCTCTCAACCCCAGAGACAGTTCCTCCCTGGGATCTGTAGACTTGATGCAACAAGTGACCCCTACTCCCCAGTGCCTCCCGCCTCTGCCACCCACACCCCTGGGCCCCCGGCACCAACTGTGCCCAGGTCAGGACAGCTGGCAGCCCATGTGCTTCCACCCCCACTTTCTCCCTGTTCCCAACTCTGGGGTTATGACACAGGGGCAGGAGGGGGCCAAGCTAGGGGTGGAGCCTTTGTGGGAAAGATGACATGGATCTGAAGGAATTTAAAGGGCCTCGGACTTCCTTGCCAGATATCCTTTTGCTGAGCTGCTCTGCACCTGCCCAGCACCATGGTAATATGTGACGGCTGAGTCGGGGACCCCTGTCAGCTACGTTCTCCAGGAGCTTGAGGATGGAAGCTGGCACCAAGGGCCCCTCCGCAGGATCACAGGCATGAAGGAGTGAGACCAGAGTAGCCCCTCCACCAATCCGAAGGCTAGAACAGCCGCCAGGCTTTCCTGTCCCTGCTTTGAGCAGTGGAGATGAGGGGATTTCCTGGTCAAGAGAGGGTTGAGGGACCAGGGGCTCTGGAGGGTGTGTATCACATGTCTGGGCATTGTAGTATGTGAGTCACGGGATGTGCCTGTGTGTCGCCAGCACAAAATTCTCTGTGCGCGGCTGGGTGCACATGTGGGGATCCCTGGGCGGGCATTCCAGTACGCAGCTGTTAGTCATTCATTTAACATGTATTACTGAGCACCTGCCAAGCGTCAGGCACTGTTCTAGGTGCTTGTGCTACACTGGTGAGCAAAACAGGCGAAGAGCCCAACTGTGACGGTGCTTCCACGGGGTGGGCGGTGGGGAGTTCCTTGGGAGAGATGAAGACAATTCTTAAAAAGCACAGAGTACAGTAAGTCAGAAGATGACCTGGAAGGGGAAAGTACAAGATGAAGGGATGGGTTGCGATTTTAAGTAGGGGTGTGAGGGCAGGACCCATTTAGGGGGTGGATCTTGAGCGGAGGCCCTGCGGCTATCTGGAGGGAGCCTTCCGGGCCGAGAACAGCACGCCTGGCATTTCTGAGGAACGGCAAGGAGGGGGGAGAGGCTCGAGTGGGGTGAGCAAGGAGTTGCGCAAGAGGTCGGTGAGGCGAGCGAGCTGCCCCGGGGGCCCACCCGACGGGGTGCTCCCGGTCCCCCCTCACCGTCCCGAGTACCCGCCGCTGTCTGTGCGCGCAGCACTGCGCATGTCCCGGTGCGCGGCATTCGGCCCCGGCAGCGGGAGGTCCCTTCAGGCCTCGCGCACCTGCGTGCGTCCCAGAGGCGGACGCGTCGCCGAGTCTCCCCGCCCGGGGCGTGTGTGGGGGGAGGGGGTCACGTGACACCCGCGCTCCGGTCTCCCCCCCCCCCAGGCGCCGGCTCTGCGCTGCGCGTGCGCACTGGCCCTGGTGTGCCTGGCGCTGCTGCTGCTGCGGCCCGGGGGAGCCCTGGGGGAGGAGCTGCAGCCGCAGCAGCCCCCCGGGCCCAGGGCGGCGGACTGGCTGTCCAACTTCGCCCACTTCAACAAGTACCTGGAGAAGCTCTTCAACAGCAGGTGGGCGGGGGGAGAGCGGGAGGGCGGGAGGACGGGCAGGGGGGTGGGGGAGGAAATGGGCATCACCGGGCACCCCACCCACCGCCCTCGCCACCCCGAGATCTGTGCAAAGACGTGTTCCCCAGCTCTAAGTCTAAGGACACCAAGAAATCTAAAAACGTTAAAAACCCCAAGAAAGCTGCCAACACCACAAGAACCCCACCAGCAAACACCACGAAACCCCTACCAGCGAATGCTACGAAACCCCCCCGACAGACCACCGGGAAACCCCAACCTCCGCCCTCCTCCCAGGGCCCCAGGTAGGAGAGCCTGGGCAGGCTGGCACCTATCAGGAGCCCCAGAACTGGGGGCGGGGGGGGCCGGACAGAGAGGAAGCCCTGGGCTGTGCGGGGTGGACACCAGGGCCCCAGGGACATCCTTCTCCAGGCAGGGCCCTGACCTCCACTTGCCTGACTCAAGTCTGCTGGCCCACCCTCCCCCTTTGTATTCTTCGGGAAGCCTTAACTCCTACCTGCTCACCTTCCTCACCACCACCTACCCCAAAACAATAAAGAGAAATATCTCCATGGCTTGGTGACTCCTGTGGGCCCTAGGCAGGAAGGGATCTGACCTTCAAGGGGAGAGGGGAGAGACCCTGGAGCTCCTACTGTGAGAGAAAAAGACCCCCCCCCCCCCCCCCCCCCCCCCCCCCCGCCGCAGGTCTCTCCTGCCTCTTTCCAGCAGCCCATCCACCTGCCCGCACTTGCAGATGTACTCCACTGGGGCGGGGGTGGGAGTGGTGGTGGTGGTGGGGGTACTCTAACCAGAGGGCCAGCAGAGGCCAGAGGAGCAGGTCCCAGTAATCTGGAAGAAGGGGCTTCAGCTAGGATCCCCTCCCACACAAGTGTCTCCACAGAGCAGGGCAGCCCTGGATGACCCAGGTGACCCAGGAACAAACAACAGTGTCTTTGCTTACCCTTAGGGGTGAAGAAAAGGTAGTCCTGCCTTTGCCTCCAGGACCCTCTCAGCCTGTCACTCCAGCAATGAGCAGAGCAGAAATGGCAGGAGCCCATCGAGGGCCTGTCCCTGAGAAGCTGGATGTGAGGATGGCACTCTCCTAGGTTGGCGGGGCGCAGGGCAGGGGGGAGGCTGGTGACTATCAGAAGACCTGGACAAGGGGGCAGAGGCAGAGGTGCTCGGCTTCAGAGGCACCTCTCACAAGCCACCTCTCACACACAAGTATGCCCTGAGCAGGATCCTAATTCCTGCCCCCTGGAAAGTGTCTACCTCTCTCCCTACTCAGAGCCTATCCCCTTAGCTGCCAGAAAATGCTGGGGCTTCAGGCTCCATCATCCAAACTCAAACTTTGCTCTCTGAAAGCGGCTCCCCTCCCAACCACTCCCTTGGGTTTGAGAATCACCCTGAGCCGTGCATCTGCCTGGTAGCTGCATCTACCCATGACTTTTAGGCCCTGGTTCCAACTCTTGGGCCATTTGCACACTCCAGGCACAGCCAGGAGTTAAGGGAAAACACGTTTATCCTTGTCTTGGAGTCAGTGTGAGGTGCTGAGCCCAGGAAAGGGGACCCTCTCATCCATCAATCCCACAAGCCCTGTCTTTTCTGGGCAGAACATGTGGGGGAGGCTGGAGAAGCCATTCCAGGAACAGAAAGGTTCTAATTCTCTCACTTCCCTCACGACCCATCCGTGCCATGACAATCCCTCATCGACAGGTGTTCCCGTCCCAGGAGAAGGGGAAAGAGATGTGTTCACTCACTCCCAATGTGTGTGTGTGTGTGTGTGTGTATGTGTGTGTGTGTCTCACACACACACACACCCTACCCATCCCCACCTGCTCAGAGTGCCCAAGAAGGGCAAGGGCTGCCGAAGACCACTGGGGCCACTTGTCCTCAGTGCAGGCTCCCTGGGGCCGGATCCGGGTCCTCACTCTTCTGGAGCTGGAGTGTGGAATCCACAGATTGGGCTCCTGGGGGTGGCCACAATTCTCACTCTGCCAGCCTCCTCCGAGAAGGCCAAACTCCCCCTGCGGCCTCCCCTGCTGCAGCTGCTCCAGTAGCCCCTACGCCCAGGACTTCATTGCCTCTCAGGCCCTATTCTCTCTAAGTTTTTAGTTCTTCAAAGATGCTTCCGTGTCATCATGGAAAGCCTGCCTTCCAGAGCCCCATCCAGGATCCACATGGGGGAATCCCTGGGTGGCACAGCGGTTTGGCGCCTGCCTTTGGCCCAGGGCGCGATCCTGGAGACCCAGGATCGAATCCCACGTCGGGCTCCCGGTGCATGGAGTCTGCTTCTCCCTCTGCCTGTGTCTCTGCCTCTCTCTCTCTCTCTCTCTGTGACTATCATAAATAAATAAAAATTAAAAAAAAAAAACAGGAGCCACATGGAGTTCCCTGTACCCCTCTTGCATCAGATGGAGAGCTTCACATGTTTGAAGCCCGTGTTTTCTCTCCACTGGTCTTTCTGGCATGCTTCATGGAAACAGCTGGTTGGCCAGGGGCACATCGGCCTCTGAAAAGCTCCTGTTTACTGAGCATTTACCTGAGTCAAGAACCACGCTTAATATTTCTTTTCTATTTTTTTTAAGTAATGGCATTTGACTGAAATTTAAATTTCCAACAAATCAGTACTATAGCTTATCGGTACACATAGAGATCATAATAGTACATCTATGGGTTTACTTGCTGAAAGAGGAATTGTTCAAGGGATTCTCAGCATTTTTACTCCCTCCAGCTGCAAATACCTGGGTTGTCTTGTTTTTTTTTTTTTTTTTAAGATTTTTTTTTTTTTTTTTTTTTAGAGAGAGAGTATGTGTGAGTAGAGGGAGGAGCAAAGAGAGAATCTCAAGCAGACTCCCCACTGAGCAGGGAGCCTGATGCAGGGCTCAATCCCAGGACCCTGAGGTCGTAACTCGAGCCTAAATCAAGAATCAGACACTCAACCAACTGAGTCCCCCAGGCGCCCCCCACAGTCAACGTTTCATACATGTTATTTCATGTCATCCTCACTGCAACCCTATCATCCTTCCATCTTGACAGATGGGAGGCTCAGAGAGGTTGTAGCCCTGCTTCCCAGCACACAGGGAGTGGCAGATCCTAGAATCAGAGCCAAGTTCTTCTGACTCTTAGAGCAGGTGCTACATAGCCTGTACTAGCTTGCTGTCTGTGCAGGACCTGGGATAAGCAGCCACACCTCACTGAGCCTGAGTCTCGCCCACTGTAGAGTGAGGGCAACAGCATCCCCCTCACTAGGTTGTTGGGAGGGTTGAACGTGCCCGCATCCCCCCGGCACACAGTAGGCTCATTTTCCCAACAGTCTGTATAGGACCCCATCTCCAGGCCCTCCCCATCACAGTCCTTCCCTGCTGGCCATGCTTCTGTGGGGCCTGTGCCCCCTGATGAGCCATGATCCTACTGGACACACACAGTGACACATCTCTGACCTGCCCAGAAGTCAGAGGTCTGACTTAGCACCAGCCATTCCTCCATGCTGGGTCGTTGCCCCTGCACCCCACCCCCTGTGCCAAGGACACTTTGATACACATTAGAACTTCACCTACTGCCTAGATACATTGGCAGGGGATATGTTTGGGGGCATGGCCATCATCAGGCTGCGGATCTGGAAGGTCTAGACGTGCTGAAACGGAAGAGTCAAGCCTCACTGACTTGCTGAATGGCCTGGGAGGAGTCCCTGGCTCCCTGAGATTCTGAGCTGAATGGCTCAGAGGACCCACAGGCCTTCTGCATCACTGACAGTACTCTCCTTTCCCTTCTGTGCCTCCCCTCCCCATCTCTCCCATGTATTTGGCCTGCTCCTGCCCCCACCAGGGGTCCACAGAGACACACACCCACAGAAGCTATGACTTTGACTTGCTTTATTTAGTCTGTGTGTGAGAGCAGGGAGCAAGCTTTGGCCAGGGGTGCAGAGGGGAGAGGTAGGCTGGCATTGGCCTGAGAGGCAGAGGTGGCATTACTTGGAGGTGGCATTACTCGTCCATCAGCTCCCTGTGAGGAGAGGGGAGAACACAACAGGGGGAGTGGACAGTCCTTGTGCCCCCAGGAGACCTCAGGCCAGCACTGGGCCTGTGTTCTCTCCGCTCTGCCCCTCTTCCAGCCCCAGGGATCTAGGCATACAGGGCAGGGAAGCAGACCTACCTGGGGGCAGCTGCATGGGGGGAGCCCCATTCCAGGATGTCCCGCATTTCTCCTCTGTCTCTTTTCCCATACCTGGGAGGGGAGAGGCAGGTGGGGCAAGCACTGTGCCCACCCTTGGGCACCATCCCACCCGGGCCCCAGGGATCAGTGGAGCTGCTCTGCTTTCCCAAGAGCGTGGCAGGGGCTGAGGCTGGGTTGTGGCCCAGGGCCACAGGGACCGGGCTCTCTCTCTCCCTCTCTCACACGCACCTGGGCCTGGTCAGCATGTTGATGTATCTGCGGAGCTCAGCCGCGTACTGGGCCATCTGCTCTGGTGTGGCATCGTCCCCCGGATACACCGGCTCCAGCGGGGCCCCCCGGGTACCCAGTGGCGGCTGCAGCAACAGAGCCACACAGGCTGACAGGAGCAGCAGGAAGAGGCAGCGGCAGGCCGCAGGCATCTGGGGAGCAAGGAGCAGGAAGGTGAGAAAGGACAGAGCCCACCTGCCCGGGTCCTTAGCCCTTCACCCATGTCTCCAATCCTGGGGACAAAGGGACAGAGCAAAGGGCTGCTTGAATGTGACCACCCACCTCCCAGACACCACCCTGGAGAGCACGGACAGGCCCCCAGCAACGTCAGAAAGCATAGCAGGGAAGGTGGGGACATGGGGCAGGAGACCCAGGACTCGTGACATCCAGAGCCCAGTGGCTCTGAGGAGGCAGACGCAGGGTGGGATGAAGGGGTGCTCTGGCTCACACAGTAGGAGCACACAGAATGAACTTGTGAGCCAAAGGACAGGGATCCAGGGCCTGTGGGTCTGCCCCTGCCCCTCCACCTGGATAGACATTCAAGTGCAGGTCCTGGAGAAGACACTGTTGCCTGGATCGCCCTCAGCCGATAGGCACAGGACCCCGTCACTCACAAGGTCGCCATCACTCACATTTGTGTGCACGGCCACCCCTTACTCCCCATGCATGCTTTGTCTTTAGTCAGCAGACTGCTTGCTCTTCCAGGGTGATAGGTTCAGCCAGATGTAGAGCGAGACCCAAGCAGGGCCCCAGATGTCCCAACACCAGCCCGCTGCTCTGCAAAGCATCAATTCCTTCCCCCACCCCAGACCCTAGTCCCAAGGACCACCCAGGGCCCTGCCTCCCCCCCAACCGAGGACCACTTACCCTGAGTCCTAAGGGCCGGATATGTGTCCTTGCCCTCCTCGGTGCCCCTTTATAGTCCTCAGTCCCCCAGAGTCCCCGCCTTCTGTCAGCCTCTCTCATTCCCCAGCCCTCACCCCCTCCTCCCACTGTCTCCCTGGTACCTATGACAGCTGGCCCTGGGGCCAGGGCTGGGAGGGGGACAGGGCGGTGTTGTGGGTACCAGACCAGCACTATAACAGGTAAAAGTGGGCCACAGTAAGTCTCCTGTGGGCCGCCATCCACCTTTGGGCACCAGAGCAGGCTTGGTTCAAAAAGAATGGGGACGTCCAGCTACTGAAAGGTTCTGGTCCCAGCCTCAGAACAGCCCCGACTGCCTCCCAGGGATTAACAGGAATCCTCAAACAAATTCCCTCAGAGCATAAGATTGAGCCTGGGGCTCGGAGACTCCAGGATGAAGAGTCAGGACTTCCTTTCCAGATTGTGACTAGAACAAAGTGAGACCAAGGGTCGGGTGGGGAGAGGCCTTAAGTGTGCAAAAGAGTTGAGGACACAGGCAGGGAGAGACCTACTGCCCGGCTGGTGTGTGGGGTGCGAATGAGAACCCATGTGCCTGGGGTCAGGCGAATGGAGTGGGGAGGGGGAGCAGACACCAGAGGCACATCCCAGAGCTCCTTTCCAACACCGTGATAAAGCTGGCATCATAAAGCCTTGAATTTTCCAACATGCTCCCTATCACCTCACTGAGTCCCTGCACCAACCAACCCATCTTACAAATGTAGACAGGAACTCAGAGGCATTAAGTGACTAGCTGAAGGCCAGGTAACTAGTCAGTGGGAAATCCAGAGTTTGAAACAAAGTCTAATTCCAAAATCTGAACTTTTTTTCCTAAGTGGGGCTGTCAAACTATTGCTATAATTTTCCATTTCTTTTTGGCTGAGAAACATGAGGTTCACAGAGGTGAAGAGACTTGCCTGAGACCACACAGCTGTCTAGGCCTCAACCCCACCATCCCAACATCACCGCCACCCCCAGGAGCCTCTGAGCCTGCCCTGCTCAGGCATCCCTTCCTCAACCCCCAGCCCCCTCCCCTGCTCAGGGCAAGGAGCAGGACCAGGCGCATCTGAAGGACACACTGAAGCCCCAGTGGGGAGCCAAAGACCTTTTGCCTCTGAGGTCCTATTGTCCCAGAACAAGACACCAAAAGTGTGTGTGTTCTGGGGGAGTCGTAGGGGGTGTGACACCTGGAAGTGTGACCCCAGGGATCTAACACAGCGGGCTTAGAGGTCCAAATCCTGGCTTTGCTGTGGGCTCTGTGTGATCCTGGGGAAATAATTTTAGCCCCTCTGAGCTTTGATTTTCCTCAAGATAGGGAGGATAAAGAGGATCTCTAAATGTCAGTGTTATGTCAGTTCCTCTCAATCCTGGTTTCTGGTAACAAGAACAATAATGCCTCACCAGACAAAAGTTTATATCCCAAAAGCAAATAGGGAGGTCAGTCTGTCTGTCTGGGCAGCCTTGGCCCTGGCTCCCGCTTTGCAAAACGAAGTTGGTGAACCGGTGCTGGTGCCCACGCCCCTCAGGTGAGGCCGCAGGGGCTGCATTGTGCCACCAGGGGGCGCCAGGCTCCAACCCTACGGCGGAGGGTCCGGCCTCCCGCAGCATTGCCGCCTGGCCGACCTGTTCTGGCCACTGTGTCAGGACCCAGCCCCTGCAGATGGCAGATCTGGCGCTTGACTGAGTACTGCGGCCAGTGACAGTCTTGTCTTGTGCCTCACAAATGACTCATATTCCACACTGTCAACTGGACCCATAGCTTTCATTTTTCTGCTTTGCAAACAACAGATTCCCTTTCTGGGTCCTCTCAGGGAAGTTGGGACAAACCAAGAGGAAGAGGCAGTGGGTGTGCCTTCTGCACTGTAGGCCAGATCCAGAACGGAGTGATGCGTCTCGCTCATCTTCATACGTTCTGAGGACCTGCCGTGGAGCCCGCTTAGACAAGGCACCAAGTCCTTACCTGCAGGCGGATGAAATGAAAATGGAAAAAGGTCCCTCTCCACCTGCCCAACCCCATGGGTCCTTGTAGGACGGGGTGGATGGCCACTGGGCAGTGTTATGGGTGGAGTGAGGGCTTTGATGCAAGTAGAAGAGGAATTCCCCAGGAGCACCTGGGGTCACAGGCTGAGGCCGAGTGTGCCATAGCAAGTGGGGTGGGGGTCCCCACATATGAGACTCCAAGGACAGGAATTCAGCCAGCATCACATCCTCCATACGTGCCTCTCACAAGAGTGCCTCCAAAGCAGCCTGGCCCAGCTCTTAGACCAACGTCTTATTCCTGTGCTGAGTGGCAGCAGTGGGGGGCTGGGGAGGTAGAGGTGGCTGCCCCCAGATGTCAGGAACCTAATGGGTCCCCTGTTCCCTGGAGAAACCCTTAGACTGAGGGCAGCTGTTGCACGTGCACATACACACACCCCCTGAGTCCCTGTCCTATTCCCTCAAAATCAGTGCAGGCCTGACTGGGGACTCAGGTCATTCGTTTGGTGATTGGACTCTGCCCCCACTTCTCTCTTCCCAGGAGACTCCCTCTGCACCAGGGCCCCTGCAGGCTCAGAAGTGTTCAATATTTTTCCCTCCCTGCCCACAGCACCTGCAAAAGCAAATCCAACCATTGTCAGCCCACATTTTTCCTAAGAGGGGACTGGGTGTGGAAGGAGGGGAATTTCTCCCTTGGGGTCATTGGAGGGGAAAGTTGCCTGAGCCTGAGTTTCCAGAAGGGTTAGAAGTGAGAAGGAGAGTAAAGGAAAAGAGGGGGTGTTAGTAAGCATGTGCCAGGCTGTACGGTCAACTGCCTTCCTCATCAGCTCTACCACTCAAGAGCTGTGTGACCTTTGGCAAAGCACATAACCTCTCTGAGCCTAAGCAGTGAACTCTTATTATTATTTAAGGTGTAAGTTTCCATGTGTGACCAGTGAAGAAATACAGGCAGTGAAATGGAATGACTAGGCGGGCCAAAGTCACAGGGCGGACCAATGGCAGACGGGGACTCGAATGCAGATCTTTGGTCTCTGAGGTCCCTGCCCCCGCTGCCCACAGCGGGACTTGAGGGGGTAGGCCTGTGTGAGAACTCAGAGTTAGGCTCCAGAGACGGGCAGGCCAGAGCAGGAGGTTCCCAGAGGAAATGAGTCTTGAGTGGCCTTGAGGACAGTAGGAGATGCTGTCTCACAGAAGTGGGGTGGTGACAACGGGACTGCACTGTTGGGGGACACTAATGGAGGAACGTGGGAGGTGTCACCAGAGGAGACAGGGGTGCACCATGGGGAGCCTTGCAGAAGAGTTGAGAGTGAACGGTTAGTGGAGCCAGAAGCAGCACACGGAGGGCTCTCTTACCTCTGTCCCCAGCTGTGTGACCTCCTGCCAGCTTCTCCCCATCCCCAGACCTCAGGATTCCCATCTGCTCAATGATGAGATGGGCCAGGTGATTTCCAGAGGATGTTCAAAGGAGATCGTGTTTGTAACCGATAACGCTGGTTGCTCCAGTACGCACTCTCTCCTCCTCCCATCATACACAAGCTTGAGAACAGCACATGGCTACTGGGCTAATGACATCTTCTGGATTGTTCTGGCCATGAGGTGGGACCGCATGACTAAGTTCTAGCCACTGAGAGGAGGGTTTCGGCGCCTTGTGCCATTCTCGTGCTGTCCTGAGGCCGACTGTAGCAAAGATAACCACTGAAAGACCTCCTATCCCACATGTAGTTCCACAGTGGGGTCCATGTCCCTTTCTCAGGTGTACTGGTCAGGTGAGTGTGTTGGAGGATGTGGCTTGTGAGGCCAGGTCATAGGAGGCAGTTGTTATGGGTTGAATTGTTCCCCCCCCCCGCCAAGTTCACATGTCGAAATCCTAACCCCCAGTGCCTCAAAATGCAGCCTTATTTGGCAATAGAGTCTTTGCTGATGAAAACTAATTAAGTTGAGCTCACCCTGGAGTAGAGCGGACCCCTAATCCAATATGACTGCTGTGTTTAAATGAACGGGACTTTGGGACACAGAAACAGATGTACAGAAGGGAAGCCACCTAGGAGCCAAGGACAGAGGCCTGGAGCAGCCCCGACCCTCACAGCCCTCAAAGGTAAGCAACCCTGCCCACCTGGGACTTCAGACTTCCAGCCTTCAGACCTGCTGGTAAACTCCTGGGTTTGTGGTATTTTGTTACATTGGCCCCAGGAAGACAAGGGCAGCACTGCTTCCTCCCAGTTATCTCCCAGCACTCACTTCGTGGGGAGCCAGCTACCGTGTGGGCCCAACTACCCCAAGAATACAGTGCTGGAGGGGCCCCTACATGGAGGTGCTGGGTCAACAGACCCAGCTGAGCTCTGGGCCAGCAGCTAGCAGCACCCCCAGACATGTGCGTGAGACCTCCTAGGCATCAACCCAGAGGGGTGCCCTCCAATGACCCCAGCCCCAGCCAACTCCTGACTGTCACTGCAGGAACGACTCCAAGTGACAGGTGCCTAGTTGAGCGCTTCCCAATCCTGACCCACGAAACCATCATGGGTGAAATGAAATGGTTTATTGAAGCCAGGTCTTAGGGTAAGTGTGACTCAGCCTCGTAACCAGAGCATCTCCCCTTCCCCTTCCCTCTCTTCCTGCTGACTGGGTAACAGTGGGCCATCTCCAGTCACGTAGAGGAGGACATGGGGATGCCACAAAATAGGTCCCAGGGCTTCTGGACTTCCTCGTGAAACAGAGGTGCTAATCCCCAGATGCCACTGAATTTTATGTAAAAGAGAAATAAACTTCTGTCCTGTTTAAGCTACTGCTAATTCTGCCTTTATTTAAAAAAAAAAAGCCAAATCAATATTCTAGCAATGTGGTGTGTGTAAAACAAATAGTTCGGCATTTAGAACATAAGTAAGTGCTTCTTTCAAAAGGTAGCTGTCGTCACTATTAATATCACATCTAAGGCTCCTCCAGCAGCAAGGCTGGTTGAGCCTGGTCGGCTGTGGATTGACCACTGGCTCAACTTTCCTCCAAGTGAATGGGAGGCGAACCCGTGTCACTGATGATCAACAAGACAGGTCAAAGTGAAATTGTCCGTGGTCATGCGTAATTCACACCAGGGGTCTCTTCCATCAGCCTCAGGCTGACCACTGCCCTCCCAGGCAGACCGCCAGACAGGGGACCATGGACACCAACTCAGGCACACACCATCCCACTCCTCCGACCACAAATTGCACCAAAGCTCATGGCAGCCACTGTGTGTTCCCACCCCTCCCCTCCTGGAGCAGAGAGTGGATTGGAGGAGAGAAGATAAGGGGCAAAATGACATGGGAGGTGGATCTCAGATAACAATAATACAGTAGGGAGAGAACCAGAGAAACTAACTCTGCCCTGAGAAATCAGGAGAGGCTTCTAGGAGGAGGTGAACATTGTCCTGAAGACATTTTCCAGGCTGGAAAGGAAGGAAAGGGCTCTGCAGGCAGGGGAGTGGCTTGGACAAAGGCTTAGGGCGTCAGAGTCCACGTAGCTGGTGATGTGCACCAGGCCCCGGACCTGCCTCTGCTTCACCCATTCCTGCCCGACCTTGAGGCCGGCAGCACAGGAGAGGAGTCAGAGCCCAGGCCCCCTAGGGCAGGCTGTGTGGGAGCAGCTATGACAGAGCCAGCTTTAGGATCTGTTCTCTTTCCATAGCCCCATAATAGCAAATGGTCCTGCGAGACTCCTGCCCTCTGAAGTGACACACCCGGCCTTCCTGATCTTCTGACCCTGTCTGGGTCTGGAACTTTGGCTTCAACCTTATTCTCCTCCTCATCCCCAGCTCCTTGCCTTGGGCTTGTCCAGGTCCTGCTGACCTAGAGGCCCAGGAGAGAGTCCCCAGACTGAGGAGGCTGTGTCTGAGTAGGGAGACACAGGCCCTTCCTTTAGGGGTTCCTCAGAAGGGAGACCTGACAGCGACACGGGCATAACAGAGCGGTGGCCAGGAGAGCTGGGCTGCCACACAGGGCAGGAAGAGTGCAGATCAGGGCCAATCAAGGCAGGCTTCCTGGAGGAGGGGGGCTGGGCAGGAAGGGTACCAGGGAAGATCAGCCTGCAGGCTCTGGGATTCCTCCATCATAGGGACGAAGTGGTGAGGGATTTGGGTCAGACTCCAGTTTAAACATCCACAGTGCCTTCAGCCTTCAGTGTCTAGTCAAGGGAATGGGGGCAGTGCACCAGTGGGTGTCCCCATAGCCTTGTCACCAGGAAGGCACAGTTAGGGACCTAGCCATTGAGTGGGACCTATCCATTGAGTGGGAATTCAGCAATGTGGAGGAGGGCTGTTGCGAAGAGAAAGGGCAGCCTCCATACTCCCATTGCACCTCCTGCCCAGGGAAGGGGACATTAGAAATGCCCCCTCCCCAGCACACATACTCCCACCTTCACCCCCCAAATGACTTCCTCAACTGTCCCATCTTGGATCACATCGCTACCCCCAGCTACTACAGCCTTGGAGGTTAGTAATCTATCTCCTCGGGGCAACTGCCATGAAGCACTGGTGCCCAGCCCACGCCCCCAGCCACCTGCGCCCTTGGGAGCAGGTGGGTAGTGCACCTCTGTCCCCGTCTACTCTCCTGGGCTGCCTAGCAAGCTCCTTTCTACCCTCCCCATCCTCTCGCAACTCTTTTTCCTGTTTCTCCCTGCCCCTTGTCAAGAAGTTTCATCCCGACCCGCTTCCAACCCGACTGGAGAGGGCCACAGCCGTCCCTTGCCCTGCTCCAGCCACCCCTTCCCCCGCCACCCCCCACCCCACCTCCCTGTCCTTGCCCCGCCGCCCAGCGCCCCTGCTGGGCCACAGTGTCTTCTCTTAGCACAGAGCAGAGGGACCCCCCCCCCCGACTCTGCCCCGGCCCTGTCCTGGGGAGACTTTTGTCTGCAGGGCTCAGTCTTGTTTGTTGCCTCTACCTTCCACTTGCCCCTGGTGGCCACCTCCACGAAGGAGAAGGAAATCCACACGCACACATTCCGTTTCAGTGAAATTTGCTCTTTATTTGGGGACCAGGGAAAGACCACACACAGCCCGCCAGCCCAGGGGCTGGGGACACGGAGAAGTGGAATGATGACCCCATCCCCATCCCGCACCCACACCCCAGGCGCAGCAGGCAGGGAGAGGAACCCAGGGTCCAGGGTCAGGAGCAAACATGCAAATGAGGTCGGTGTAGTTAGCATATCTCCCAGGAGCCCTTGGGGTCGTCACCACATGTACTCGCCTCCTGGCCTGGAGGAGGGAAAGGAAAGGGCTCGCTCAGAGCCGGCCTCAGACCTGGGGTGGCGGGGCCGGGGTGGGGCTCCGTGGGGCGTCACATCCCGGACAGAGCCCGAGGGGACAGGATGTGTGGCGGTGGTGGTGGCGTGGGGGCCCTTTTACCATGACTTGGCCCGGCGGTCCTCGCCGTCGGGGAAGAGCAGTTTGGAGAGCACCGCTTCGGGGCTGTCGCGTTTCCCATACCTGGGGGTGGGGCCATAGGGGGCGGGGTCAGGCTGGACACGCCCCGGGAGGGCGGGGCGGGAGAAGGGGCGGGGGGCGGGAGCCCCCGGGACCCCCCCCGGCGCCCGAGCCCGAGCCCGAGCCCGAGCCCGAGCCCGAACCCGAGGGCGCGCGCGCTCACCGCTGCCGAGTGACCAGGTTGAGGTAGTGGCGCAGCGACGCGTAGTAGCGGCTCAGCTCCTCGGGCGAGGCGTCTTCGCCGGGAGCCTCGGGTTTGGCGGGGTAGGCGTGGACCAGCGCCCCCAGGCAGGCGAGCAGGGCCAGCAGCACTGTGGCCACGGCGGGCCACGGCCTGCGCACCGTCACCATCTGGAGGGGGGGCCGGGGTCGTGGGTCAGGCCCCGCCTCGACCCCCGACGGCAGGAGGCTGAGGCTGCCCTCGGGCCCACGCTCCCGGCCTGTGCAAGGCTGCTACCGGATCAGGGCCCAGCCGCCGGCCGGCTGTGTGTTCTCTGGCCCTGCACCGTCTCTGCCTCAGTTTCCCCATCTGTCAGAGAGGGCATAAGCCCTGTCCGCCTCCCCAACCCCCAGTCGTACTGCCCAGAACCGTTGCTGGAGGCAGAGGGCTATGCTGGCCGCTCAGCCCCAGCTTTCACCATCCCAGCCTCAGTTTCCCCACAAAATCGCCAGGGCTCCCCCCGGTACCAGGCTATTCCCCGGCACTCACGGCGAGAGCTCCTGGAGCGGAGATGAGCAGGGAGAAGGCGAGTGGAGTCCCAGGGGCTGGGCTGCTGCAGGTCGGGCTGTGGCCTCCTCTGCTCAGCGCTGTCCCCGCGGGGCTTATATCTCAGCCTGGGAAGGGAGGGGGAGCTGCAGGGGGTGGGGAGGGCCCTTCCTCCTCCTTGCCTCCACCCCCGCGGATCGCTGAGCTTACACCCAGACAGTGCGTGACGACTCCACCTTGCAGGAGATGAGGGGGTAGCCACCAGACTCAGACTCAGACTCTGGACAGAACTTGGACCCCATCTTCACCCCACATCCCCCCAAGAGCAGCTGTAGCCTCCTGGGGAAGTGAAACGTTTGTATCTATACTCCTGGGGCAGCCCCTAGGACCAATGAGAAGATTCCATCTTCCCAAGCCTACCCATGGGTGGGGATGAGGGGCATCAGCGGGACACTACCTGCAGCCAGTGGGACCTATGACCGTCCTATGGGAAAGGCGGCCCTTTCAGCCCTCACTCTACAATTCCTCGGAGACGGGCTGAGAAGTGTCAGGTCCTGGGGGGAAAGGCTCTTCCTACTCGAAGCGGGGTGGAAGCTGTGACTTTGGCTCTTGACCTGCTGTTTATGATGTCCTAGAGGAGAGGCCTCTCTCTCTGGCCCCTTCTCTGTTAAAGAGTTGGGGAGAGGACTGAGAGGAGGCCGCGGCCAGGGCCCAGCCACAGAAGCAGCTGAGTCTGCCACCTGTGCCTCCAGCCTGACACACACAGACCCAGGCCCAAGCAGAGCTGGCATAGAGACCCCTTCCAAGGCAGTGCACCCCATCCCCATCCAGGTGTCACTCAGGGCACTGGTGTCTTCTGGGGTTAAGTGATGCCAGGGCTGCCCAAGCACGTGCCACTGTCCTCAGCCCATTGCAGTCTCTGGGGTGAAGATCCTCACTCAGGGCCTTTGAAAGAAAGGGGAAGGGACTCTGTTTATTAGGCACCTACTGTGCACTGGGCAGTACAGGATCACAACACAATGGGCTGGATTTATTCCCATTTTACAGATGAGGAAACTGAAGGTTTGAGAGAAAAGGGAACCCAGGATTCAAACAGGAAAGGGTAGGGGAGACCCCAGGAAGAAGCCCTCTCAACTGAGGGGCAGAATGGCTCACTACCCAGGATAACCATAGGGCTCAGAAGTCGGGCATGGGAGTAGGGGAGCGGAGACTAATTGGGGGCCTGCTACCCTCTCTGAGAGGCCAGCCACATCAGACCCACATCAGACCCACCTGTCCCCATTGGGAAAAGAGGGTTGTTGGGGGAGTCTCCCCATAAAGCCCTTTCCAGCTCCCTTTCCCCTAGCCTGGCCAGAGCCTCCAGTGCCTCAGAGCTTGCATCCCATCAGCACTTAAGGGCAGGAGGGGCCATCTTGGTTCTGGGCCAGCCCTCCACCCTCCAGGACAGATGGCCGTGGGTGTTATTTTTAGAGCTCTCTCAAGGTGGAGAACCTAGGGCTCCCTCAATCATCTTTTTATAGGTTCAATCACCTGCACTCTCCGGAAATGGCTCCTTATCAACGAGTCAGGCCCCAGGGGCCCTGCATATCCCAAGAAAGACCAGAGCAGCATGCTGAGCATGGAGGCAGAAAAGGGGACATGGACCCTATATTCAGAGGGAGAAGAAAAATCATTCACCTGAGGGGCAGGACATGGCCCTGTTCTCCAGTAACCCCAGTCTCAGAGGAGAGTCATGGCCCCAACCCAAGGGACGAGACACACCACTATCCCAGTAGAGCCCCAGTCTGGAGAGTTCCCAGGACATAGATACAGAAGAAAACAGAGGGACAAGCCTAGGTCCAGTTAGGGGAGCAGACAGCAAAAATAATAGGACACTCCTCCAGAAGCCATGGAAAGACAGAGGCAGGTGCCCACCCTCGAGATAGAGAGGACAGCCAGGGTGGCTTTTGGGGGCAGTTGTGATCCCAGGGGTCAGGGCCTAGACAGGGACCCTGCAGGCTAAAGGGGACAAGGAGATCTGAGAGTGGGGGCCATTTGCTCTTCTGACACTGCAGCCCTGACTGGGGTGGTGACAGAGGGTTTCTAGTGTACTGATACCAGACAGAGAGAGATGACAGGGATTGTGAAATGCCCAAAGGGAACTCCCTCCCTGGAACCTTCTCATGCCTTGGGGAGTAGGGGATCTAAAGATAGATAGGAGCAGAGAAGCCAGAGTAGAGAAGCTAGAAGGCATGGGGGAAGGTCTAGATTCAGGGTACAGCCCCTAAATAAGTCACTTCCCTTTAGAGCAACCATGAGAGGGACCAGGAACCAGCCTCCCACAGCCCACAAACCTCCCACAGTCCACCTCTCCCTCTGATTCCACTTCCCAATTATAGGGCAAGCTGATTGGTTCATTAATCACCACCTCCTCACCAAAGAGTTTATTAATTTGTTCATTAGTGGGGAGGATGTCTCAGCCCTGGATCAATGCGTTCAATTACCCCACCACCCACCACCCACACAGCCACCACCCCTCATTGACTCGTGACTCAGTTGCCATTAGACAGGTCTAGGAGGTAGGAGGCCGGTATTTTCAAAGGACAAACTTCCAAACAATTGTTATTGTAGACTTGGGACCAGCACCTGCTTCCAACTTTTCCTCAAAGGGCAGGGGGGACAGAATCACTGAGGTTCCCTTGATCCCTATTCTCAGAACACTTAGCAAGGACACTCCAGGGCTCAGGGAGGCCAGGAACTTGGACCCCAGTGGAGCATCCCCCTCACCCACTCATCAAGATAAGATGGCCCATGCCGCACATCCCCAGAGACTTAGTATTTTGTCCCCACCACCACGTGCCCACTGTCCCCCACACACAGAGGCTCTCTTTGATATACCTACCATGCACTGGGCAGGACTAGACCACTGCCTTCCACCCTCAACAAGGCCTCATGCCCAAGGTCCTATGGGCAGCAGGCTGCCATGTGGCAAGAGAGATTCAGTCTCACTCAACAAGCAAGCACTCAGTAAGCCCCTACTCTGCCAGGCGCTATGCTAAGTACAGGGGACAGAGCCGTGAACAAACAGGCAAAACACTTGCCCTCATGGAGCTTACATTCTAATGGCAGGAAATAGAAAATCAATAAATAAACAAGGAAGCATGTAGCATGTGTGATTATGAGTGCTATAGGAAAAAGTCAGGGTAAGGGGGACCAAAAGTACTGCGTGAGGGGCTTATTTTAGGTTGGGTGGTTAGGGAAGGCCTCATTTTATCAGATGGCATTTGAAGGAAGTGAAGAGGTAAACCATGAGGCTACCTTGGGAAGAATGTTCCGGGGGGGGGGGGCAAAAGCAAGTGCAAAGTCCCCGAGGTAGGAGTGTGTTTGGCAGTTTGAGGATGGCAAGGAGGCATGTGTGGTTGGAGTGGAGTGAGCAGTGGGGACAGTTAGTAGGAGAAGAGACCAGGGAGGCAACGGGGGACTAGATCATGTAGGGCCTTGTAGACTGCAACAAGGACTTTAGCTTTTGCTCAGAATGACATGAGAGCTTCAGTCCAAGGAGTGGCATGGTCGGACTTAGGTGTTATTTTTTTCATTTAGTTTTAGAGATTTTTTTTTTAAGTAATTTCCTCACCCAATGTGGGATTCAAACCCACAACCCCGAGACCAAGAGTCACATGCTCCACCAACTGAGCGAGCCAGGTGCTCCCTGACTTAGGTTGTTAAGGAAGCATCCTGGCTGCTGTGTTGAGAATAGACTGAAGGGGGGCAAGGTCAGAAGCAGAGTTAGAAACCTACTGCAATAATCCAGCCAAGACATGATGGTGGTGCAGACACACACATAGACACACACGCTCACACACACACACATACACACACACTCCCCACAGGTGCCGACATCTCACATATGTTTCACCCAAGTACAACTTCCACATATGTCCAGACAGTACTGACAGCCTCTCATCCAGCTAAAAAAAAAAAAAAAAAAAATCCCCTGGAGGAAACAGTGGAAAATCACTGGACATCCACTGTAGTTAGGTGGTGGATTTGTGGGCTCTCTGAATGTTAAGGCTGCTCATTTTTTAAGTCCAAGTGAAACTGTCCATGCTACCTAGATTACTAGCCGCAGCCCAGAAAACACTGGCTACCGTGATGGAGCTTATCGAAATGCAAACCTGTTCATTTCATCATGAGTATAAATGTCCTGTTACCTAAAAACACTCTGTGGCTCTTTGCATGGAGTGAAGCAGAGAATGGCGAGTAACCAGTTGACACCACTGAGAAATGGTCACCTCTCCAAAGGGATATTAGCCTCATTCAAGGGAGCTTTGTCATCTGCTTGGATCAATGGTAAGGAAGCAGACAGGGACACTCTGTTTCCCGTGATCTGTCATTGTGTACAAAGCACTGTGAAGGGCAAATGGGACCATGGGTGAATGAGGGAGGTCAATGAGAATGGCTCAAACTGTCACACCATGGATTCTGGTTATATCTAGGGGGTGGCTTTGGGAGGTAGTAACGCCAAGAAAGAAAGGATTTTCACTTATGGCAGGAGTTCTCCTAGGAAACCTTCCCTTACCCAAAGCTGTCAGTCCTTCTGCAAAACGCAGCAACAGATACCTGTGGCATGGTGCATTCCCAAGGTTCAGGCTTCTCTTTAGAACAGGAATCAGCAAAGGCTTTCTGTAAAGGACCAAACAGTAAACATTTTAGTCTCTGTTCAGCCCTTCAGCTTGGCTACTATTGCACAAAATCAGCCATAGAACTATGGGTGGGTGGGGGGAGAATGAATGTGGCTGTGCCCCAATAAACTTCACTGGTGGATATTAAAAATTGAATTTCACATAATTTTCACATCATGAAATATTCTCCTTTTGATTTTTTCCAACCATTAAAAAACATAAAACCATCTGTTGTAAAACCATTTGTACCCAGGATGTACAAAAACAGGTTTGCGGAACCACGGTTTACTGTCCTATGGTCTCAAAAAGCAGGTATTTCGGTTCCCCCTGGGGTTGGGTTGCCTGTTTACCAAGAGTCAGCTGGCTCTCTCGCCTGTTTCAGCCAGGTATACTTGTCATTGTAATCCTATAATCCTATAATCCTATTATCATATAATTCAATTAAACATTACACAAACTGATGAAATCTGAGTGCATAGAGTCACTTCCTTGAAAACTAAGTTGAGTGCTTTGAATAAACTAAACAGAGAATTGCCAAAATGTTGAATTCAGTGTGAAGGATAACTATAAATTATTCGGAGAAAATTCTTTTAAAAATCTACGTGGATTATACACTGGATAGTTTCACTTGTGCCCTTACGTTCTCACACCATTTAATGAAACTGGAAATAACGTGATGGATTGTGAGAGTGATTTAATTTTTTTTTAATGATACACACACAGAGAGAGAGAGAGGCAGAGACACAGGCAGAGGGAGAAGTAGGCTCCATGCACCGGGAGCCCGAGCCCGACGTGGGATTCAATCCCGGGCCTCCAGGATCGCGCCCTGGGCCAAAGGCAGGCGCCAAACCCCTGCGCCACCCAGGGATCCCTGTGGGAGTGATTAATGCAAGGAAGATAAGGACAACTCATGTCAGGAGCCCAAAGAGTGCCTGGTGCCTAAATGTGTATCTATATGTTTGAAGTCAAAACAAAATGACAAAGGCATATGTTTCTATTTTTATGATTGTCCACTCCAGCCAGCTTTTTGTAAAGACTGACCAGTGACCCAGTCCTGCTTATATCTAGACAAGGGCTTCTCCATCACTTTACCTATTTTCTGTATAGTTTGAATTTGAATGTTTTTT